AAACCCTACACCCTAAACCCGACTGTTACTGAGTGGGGGCACTATCCAATCTATATCCAAGAAGCCCCCTGAACCCTAAACCCTAAACCCTAAGCCCCCTGAAGCGGGAGCTCCTCTTGGCAGTGAATTCCGGGCCACCCGAGCTCCCGCAGCGCCTCGCAAGGTTGAGACTCGGAATGATCTTCGGAAGCTTCGGCATAGCTATAGTATGATTATAGTGGCATTGTAGCCTAATTGTATTCTAATTTCTAGTATAATTTCGGTATGAATATGATTAGTTAGATAGTATAACTACAGTATAATACCTTGTAGTCTGGTCTAGTATAGTCAGTTTGGTATACTAGTCTACTCAATCTAGTCTAATACAGTCCATTGTAGTTTAGGGGTCTTAGGGCTTGCGGTTTAGAGTTAAGCGTTTCGGGGCTTAACTAGGTTGCCCAGCAGCCCCTTGATAACAAGGGTACCACAAGTCTCACTGAGCGGTCAGGTCATGGAGAGGCGAGCCGGATTGGCTGAGCTTAAGAAGAAGAACGGTGCATTTCTTTCCTGCGATTCGGCCTTAAACAAGGGAGACCTGAAAATGCAAAACGGCACAAGTGCAAAAGGGCACTACTGGGAGTACTACTGCATGGACACAAGCAGATGACAATCGAACACCACAACTAGTTAATTTGCAAAAACTCCGGCTTTTGGTCGTTGATTGCAGTCCCTTACACCAGCCATCACTCAGTACAACCATAACAGTCCGGATATTGTTGTCACTACCAGCGTGCGCATGATGGTGATTCATGCTTACTTGCATTGAGGAATTCAGACCCAGATCCCTAACCCCATAAAAACTGCAGACCCCTCAGCCGCCCGACAACCCATTAGGGTTTAGGGTTTTGGGGCTTTAGAACCCCAGTCTTCAAACCCAAACCCCTCACACCCGGCATATGTTGCACTCTTGAGGCCTTGGCAACTAGAATGGGGTTGTGGGGCTAGTGCTTTGTCATTAGGGGCCCCATCGGATCCGAAAGCCGTTCCCTGACCCTATGTTTGCCTACATTAGTCAGTCATGGGTCTCTCTCGACTCTGCACTCAGCTGCCTCACCGAAAGCAGGGACGAGCCTTTGGAAGGCTTGGTTGCTGCATAAATCTTGGATGATATTATATTACTCGATGAGTTATGTACTATAGTATACTATATTATAATTGAATGGGCTAATACAATAATATACTTTATTACAATAGAACATAATCTACTCTAGTATTGTGTAGAATAATATGATACATTATGATAGAATAGCATTACAATAGAATAGAAAAGAACAGAATAGAATAGAATAAGATAGGAGTAAGACTACGAACAAAAACATACGCATGGGCATAATGAGAAGAAGAAGAAGAATTGAACGGAATCAGAATTAGATTTAGAATAGGACTTAGGAATAAGAATAGGATAGAATAGAACAGAATACATATATAGAGTGCAGGGACCTCGAGAACGGAACGATATAAACGATATAGCATCATAAATACTACAGTCATTGCTTTTGGTGTCGCCTCCATGTGGTTATGGTACGTCATATCTCGGGATTCACGCTGCGAAGCGTGTATTCGGAGAAATTCCTAACTTTCCTGACACCGATGCTTACATTCAAGATCGCACGTTTTAGCGCCGACAATGGGCTACGGTGTCTCCTCAAGCTCCCAAACGTTCAGCTCCAACATTCCCTCAACTGTCTGCGCCCTGTGATCCGACTTACGCAGTACAGTATGGGGGCCCTAACAATTATAATGGGGTTTCGAGGAACCCTGCAAAATGATGTTGGCAACTACGGTAGTATTCTCGCCATCTCGTTTGGCTTGGTTTCTTTTGCTTTTTGACTCGAGGGTTCAAGTCGACAGCCTATCTCAGTCGCTGCTCTAGGCTTACTACATTTCGCAGGCTTGTCAAAACAACAGCCTGAGCAGAATGAGGTCGGAATTCTCGAAAGAATGGCTCAAGATATTCTGGGCACTGACAACCCCTTGCGCATGCATGGCTCATCTAGCCCTCATCAGCGGGGCTGAGGGTTTCCAGCACAGACCCGAAAAGATCAAATCCTGCCAGCTATCCTGCGATGCAGTCACCATCAACAATTCTATGGTTGGAGCTGCAAAACCAATTACGGCCCGAAAAAGTGCTCAATCTTATTGCTGGGGGCCAAGACTACGCTGAAGTCGGGATCGTTGAATCGCGCTAATCCAGGTCGGTCTTTTGTACCAGCCAGCCGTCGCTTGATCCTACCTCCATTTGTGGCGTGTGTTGCTGCATGTGCATGCCATGGTTGAAGGGTTACAGATGATGCTCTAAGAAGATAGCTGCACCTTGCACTGCTAGCTATTTGAAAGCCTCGCCGTCTGCTCTTTCTGGCACAGGCCTGAGCCGGCGTAACACACGGATATGATGCAGCGGTGAGAATCCCATGATTCTGCTTTCAGATTCCCGAAGGCTCAGGGTCAGAAGCGAAGTCCGAACCATTCCTTAAGCTAAAGACTTCCTTTACTTGCCATATCTACCGGTATGCCAGCCTTCGGGGGGTTAAGCCTTTCAAGGGGCCGAACTTCACTCAGCCTCTGCGGTGCTCAGATACTCTTCAAACCTTGGCCAGTCACTCTAACCGTCCAAGTGGGGGTCGCCTACAGACAGCCACGGTGACAATTCTCCGGGTGTCCCCAGACTTCGGGCTTCTGCTCCGACTCTTTGGGATCTAAAGCAAAGGGGTCCTCTGTGTTTCTTTTTGCCTGAGACCCTTCGAAAGCCTTATAACTTACTTGTTTGTGGTCCGGAAGATGAATTCCTTCGCCAGGGTACTGGCAAAACTGGCTTCCTGCTTCCCCTGGTTTTTGCCAACGAAGGTCCTTGCTCTGCAACACGAGTTTCGGCAAGAAGGGTGGCCAGGCCAAGGCTACCACGACACGATCGCCAGACCGCCAGTAACGGAAGAACACGACGAAGGAGAAGACAAGCAATAACAGTAAGGAAAGAACACCAACAGGGACAAGAACAAGAAAAAGAAGATCAGTGACGAGAACCGTACGCCAACAATAAGAATAAGACTACAAAACTAACAATAGCGATAAGAATAACAAACAGTAGCAGTAAGAAGTATACCAGTTCTATGCAGCACGAGTGTCGGCCTGAAAAATGGCCTCGTTGAAGACACCCTGTACAAGACCACTGCCCAGAAGAAACGGCACCAACAAAAAGAACAACTCAGAGAGAAAACGAAGCAAACATTAACACCAAACTGCATGCCGGTAACAGCGATCTCTTTCATGTGCAAAAACCATGGGATGGCAAACGTCATGCCTTTAGAAACCGTAATCGGCCGACAACACTCTGCTCATGCTAGCAGGGGTGACACTACCCACATGAGCTGCACGCTGTTCATGAGGTCCTCCTAACACCGTCCCCCAAGCCCTAAAGCACTGCAGGACTCTTTACCGTCAAAGAGCGCAACATCGGCTTCTAGCCCAAACAGTCATTGTTTCTAAATTAAAGAAAGGTTTATAGCGGTTCTTAGGCGGTTTAGGGCTGCTCTATGACGGCTTCTTTAACGTGTAGGGGTTTAGCTACTCTGGCGTTGGGTTCTGTCAGGGTTTAGGTAGGCTCTTTGAAGCTTGGAGGCTTTCAGGGTTTTTGGGTCTAGGGCCAGGGGGTTCGGCTTCAGGTGTTAATTGTGCCCTTGATGTTTTGGGTTTCGGGGCGAGATGTGTTTGGGGAAATTCGGAGGTTTAAGAAGGATTTGGTGTCGATACAACAAAAACTAGAGCCAGCTCAATGTTGAGCTTGGCATGTAGGGGCTTTAGAGGGTTCAAAAGGTCTGTGCAAATTGGGGGGTGTTGGATTGGGGTCGTTTGCCAACAGAGAAAGAAGCGGGTGGGAGTTCAGGGACCCTAAACTTCCCCAAAACCCGACAAAACCCTAAAGAGGCCCCCCCGCCCCCCCCCCACCCCCCCTCCCAAAAAAACAAACAACACACAGACCACAGAAAGGGCAGAGTTGCTCGTGGCTCCGCTCCGCGGTCCAGCGCTCCTCGGACTCATTGCGGAACTTCGCCAGCCTCGGAGGAAAAAGGGCTCTTAGGGTTTAGGGCTTTGTAGGGCTTTGAGGGTTTATGGCTTTTAGGGTGTGTAGGGCTTTAAGGCTTTTAGGGTTGTAGGGCTTTTAGGGTTTTTGGGTTTTTATAGGGTTTTTGCCCACCCAGCTAAACAAAACATCCGGCCCGCATTTTGCAGGGTTTAGGAATAGGGTTGAGGGTTTAGGGTCCATCTTTTGACGGGGTTTGGTCCATTGGTGGGGTTTAGGGTTTTGGGGTTTATAGGCTCAAGCTTTTGGATGGGTTTTGGGCTTTTGGGTGGGGTTCGGGGTTGATGGTTTAGGGCCTAGCTTTCTGATTCTGATGGAGTTTTGGTTCTCGTGGTGTTCCGCATGTTTCCCACCCGTCAACTGCTGCAACACCAAGTGTCAACCCCGGGCTTGGAGTTTAGTGTGTAGGGTTTCGGGTCCAGTTTTGTGTTGGGTCTAAGCTTTTTGTCCAAAGACTGTGCTACGCAGTATGGTGTTCTGACGTTTGGAGTACAGAAGAATCATGGGTGTGTGCGTGTTTGCCGTGGGATTTCATAGTTTGCGCAATAGCATTTCGGGGTTCTTGTTAAAGTATGTAAACTAACTTATATTATGACAAGGAAACCATGTTATCATATTATTTTCTATAGACTATAGATCCCTACTATGGTGACTTAATTGAATTCCTGAACGAGAAGTTGTGGCAGTGCCCCCGAGTCCCGGCACTCTGTGGACACCGAAAGCTCCAACCCTCGAAGCGGGGCGGGTGCCCCAAACTTCGGGTTTAGGGTTTAACGGTTTAGGGTTTAGGGTTTAGGGGATACTTCCACCAGAAATCCAGCCCCAAAACCCTGCAATCGAAATTCTGGGTGCTCGAAACTCCTAAAACCCTAGAGCCCTGACCCTATAGGTACTCGGATCCTTCCTCCCAGAACCCCGAACCCCCAAACAAAAGATCCACAACTTGAAAAGACCGCAGATTTTGCTCAGGGGAGTCAAGGCCCAGGGGCATGTAACCTGGCATGTCCATTGGGATTTCGCCCTTCTCCTGCACAGCGCGGAAGTCTAGGCCTCTAGGCCTCTGGGCTTTTGGCCCCATAGGTGCTGTTGTCTAAGGTTTAGGGCCTTGCACGCTCTTTCGAGGATTAGGACTGAAGGCTCAGAAGCTGTGAGCGCTTTGGGAGGTCAGGGCGAAGTTAAGTTTAGGACTTACCTTGAAGAGTTTTTGTAAGGCTTAAGGCTTAAGGCTCCAGGGCATTGACTTCAAGGTTTCGGGTGATGGGTCAAGGGCTTTCGGGAGGCGAGTTTCAAATAAGCTTGCAGGCATGAGCTGGAGTTGTAGCAAAGGTCTAATGTCTCTTCCTCTCTTTTGAAACTCAGCCGCATCTCCTTTAAGCCCGAATCAATGAGCAGAAAAGCGGTAGCCTTCTTGCGCATGATCTCGTGCCACCAGGGCCACATGATGTTCGGATTCTTCGAGCGGTCCACGCCGTACCTGTCCGAGCCAGAGATTCCGAGACCTTGTGGGGATCCTGCGACTGATCGAAAGCTTTTGCTCCGATTCCCTTTCTTTTTTGCGTTACCGCATATGAAGGGCGGGACTGCCGCACCATTACACCGAAAAGATACACTCACCAATATGCAAGGAGCCCTGTATACACTCGCCAAAACTTTCGTATACAACCTACTGTGTAGCATAACCCTACATCCTACAGAAGCTTATTTAAAAACACATCTGAACATCGCCGTCGGGATGCTGCTGATCCGCGAGGAAGCCGCCCAAGTTCACGCTGGCGATGATACCCCAAATGTACCGGGAAAACCAGTTCCTGCATTTCGACCATAGAGGGCTTCAAAACGGCTATTTTTTCAGGTTTGCTACGTTGTAGCTGGGCTCCCGGGGGTTTGAGGCGATAGCTTCGCGGATGCTAGGGTTCACTTCTCAAAAAAAGGGCTGTAAGGTTGAGAAAACCCAGAGTGTAAGGGACTGAGGGCCTGGTGTCCCCTCCGACCTTATCGGTCACCGATCTCTCGTGCCGATGATACTCTACGAGTACATTGAGATAGGTGCCTTTGCAGGGCGCGGATCATGGAAAGACAGAAGTCAACCAGTGGCTTTGCTTCTTGGTTTATGGGAACGGGTGTTGGGCAACCAGTCCAGGGACCAGTCTTGCTCTACGTACTCTAGCTTGGCCAAAGAATCCTCCTTGAAAAATACTCGTCAAACAAGATCCTGTCAAGCCAAAGAATAAGGGAACATATGAAATCCAAAACGCCCACCTAATAAGGCTTTGCCAGCCAGGTTATCCAAGCTTCCGGTGGAGTTTCTAGGTCTCCTATAGGTGTTGGGGTTGCAGCCATACATAAACCCTAGAAGTAAACACGAAGTCCTCTCCATTTCTCAAACCACACAAGGCCGTCCCCAGTATCTCATGGGCTGCGGGTGTGAGTCTGGCATCATACACGAAGGAAGAATAATCTTGTCACTGCTGTAGTTGCACGTCTGCGGGTTCTTCTATCTCGTGTGCCATGCTAAGCCTACTATCAGAGAAGGCTTTTTTGGCCAAAGCTCGGGTGGAAGAAGCGCTGGTGTCCACCCATCGCGTCGCTGAGTCGCCGGCGTTGGCAGACGGCTGAGGATGCGGGAGCTGAGCCGCAGCAGGCGGCGAAGGATGGTATTTTGGTCTTGTGGTATTAGAACTTTAATAGGCTTATATATGCGGAAGGTCAGTGTTTTCACAGGTTGGGGCCTGGATTCAGGGAGGCGTTGCCTTGCAGGCTTGGATATCTTACTGTTTTTTTTGTGCGCCGGTTGAATTAGCGGTTTCGCCATGCTTGGGTTCGAGGTTGGCTTGTTCGACTCCCTGCGACCTGCGTTTGTGTTTCGTCGGTGGTTTGCCCCTGTAATTTAGCCCAAGTCCCCCCTAAACTGTCCTAGACCCCAAGCACAGAGAAATACTAAAAACCCCAAGCAGCACCTAACTCAAAAAAGCTCTCATGCTTCGACGAGCTGAGTGTGAGGCATCTTGGTATCTGAAATCCAGAGGCCCTGCCCCCGCCAACGAGCTCGAGCCCGGACTGCCTGCGCTGAAAAGCCGGGGCTGGAGCTTCAAGGTTACTGGGGTTTAATGACTTAGTGGCCTTCCTCTTGGGCTACTTCTATAATTCTCCAGCTTTCCGACATGCCCAGTACGTACCTGCAAGGGAGGTTCTAGCTACGAGAAAACCTTCATGTTCGAAGCATAGAAAACCCTACGAGCTTGGAGATTCTAGGTAAACAGCTTTGGCTTGCATCCCAGTGTCGTTTTGCACCAGGGCCTTCGAAGACGCTGTAAAGCCGCCGAGCAAGCTCATAAAACCTTCTACACGCCCGTTTGACATCCTACCCAGTCCCTGCAAACCATGGACTCTGTATTATACTTGATGAGAACCACCCAAACCCTGAACCCCTAGACCCACCCCTTCAGGGTTCACTACACCCTTCAAGACTACCTACCACCGACACTGTTAGGGTTCCCTATAAACCCTAAACCCTTATCCTCTGAATCCTCGAAAGTCAGGCAAGCGTGGGCGGCCTCTGGGGTCTCCCAAAGCGCCATGGCGGTGCCGAACTTCTGGCGGCTCCACTCCTCGAGTTGCCGTTAAGGATCATTAGCAATATTCTTGTCATGAATCATTAGCGTTAATACATGAGTACCATACTGTGATCGCGAGATACACTTGGGACTCAAGGCTTATTTACGCGGGGGGGGGGGGGGGG